ATATAAAATTGAGAGAATTTTATCAATAGTTTTTCATACCATTTTCTAAAAGCTGAACTGGATAACAGGTTACTTTTATAATAAGCGCATACAAAGTTTTTGTGGAAGATCAGCCGATGAGGAGTTGCCAAGTCTCAACAAGGTGGGACAAAATTTGGAAACTTTAAACGCTTATAACTCCGTTCATACAGAACCTTGCGGTTCTAAAAGTGGTTCCATTGGTTTTCTCGTGAAATTTTCTTCCAAAAGCACCCCTTGTAGATTAAAATTTGACGAAATAAACACGGATATTTGCAGTTTTGGTCAAAAATTTTATTTCCGACCTCTCTAATTGAATCGATCCACTGTGGGACGCAAGGGCGTACCTCCGTTTCCACATGGTCCCCGGGAAGCATGGAGGTATACGAAGAGTAGGGCTCACGTGGAAATTGAGATACGCCCTTACGTCAGAGGGCGACGAATCGTGCACTGAATAACACTTCGGGAGATGCCTCTTGGTTGCTATGTGACCATGCGCGTTTTTTTTGCAAGACTCATTTTTTGGAAACTTAAAAATATCGGGTGCATCTAAAATTATTTTCTGGTCCGAAAAATCCTTGATTTTGGCATGGTGGATCGTCAGATACGATGACGACAAGAAATGCATATTGAGGGAATCGGAGTGCGTAGGGTAAACATTGCCGAGAAATTTACCTGAAATTAAGTAGGGACCTACCTGACGATAACCAAAAATGATACGTCAGTATCCAGCGCACGCAAAACAAAGTGCGTTATTCTTTACTCCGTGAAACAGTCCCTGGAAATTGGCCGATAAGGAGCCACATAGCCATACTGCCGTCCGAGAAAAAAACGCCGAAATTCCGTTGTAGATATTCTCAATTTTTTCCTGACAAAATGTTTTATCACAGAAACGCTAACGAGCATTTATCCTCAAGAATTCTTGAATACCTTTGTAAATACCCCAATAACCTAAAACTGCATGAGAAAATGGAGTAGAATGGATATCCTGCCGTGATAGCGAAGAGAGCCGTAAGTGCAAAAATGAAGTTCTGAGAAAACGGGCTCAGAAGCTTCTGACCGGAACATTTTATTGAAAGAAGCCTCCGTTCTTTGTCAAATTGCCACTATTCATCCGGAAGACTCCTAGAAATCGTATAGATGATTAAAAATCGACCAATTTTATTTCCATTACAGAAAGAGGGTATTTCTCATTTTCATGCTAGGTTATTTTTAGGCAAGACAGCCGTAAGTGCTATCTTCTGCATGCTTTCGTGGTTGCGTTTTGGACGCATAACAAACACATTTTCAGGTTAGAAATTGGCAGAAGAGGGCGGCACTTTACTGGAAAGCACTGTTTTCATTGGCTCGCATGCACCTGCGGCTGTCTTGAAAACAACTATGTCATTTTTTCTGCACTTACGGCTTTCTCATACGCCTCGTTTTCATTAAATTAGGATGAATTTTGCTGTTTTAGCTGTCTCAGTAATGACATCTAAAAGAGTTTCGACGGATTTTGAAGAAAACCCGATTTCGAAAATTTTGCACTTACGGCTCTCTTCGCTCACGGCAGTATCGCTGTCTCTCGTAAAAGAACAGTATGTGCGAAAGGAAAATTCAAAATATTGAATGGAGTTACTGCGTTTTCACTGTGGACGGCAGCATAAAGGTAACCCTAAACTTGCGATTTTCGCTCGTTTAATACAATCTATTGTCTATAATAATCGGTAATAACCGCGCTCGACAAGAAGAGAGCCTTATAAAAGTACATTTTAGAAAATTATCCAATGTTATGGAACAAAGTGATACAGCGGGAAGATGAACGGAGTTATCCACACGCAAGAACCGAGAAATTGCCACTAAAATGCGCGTCTTGAAATAAAACGATGAAAGCCAAGTTACGCAGGGATCCAGAACTCTCGGAAATGGGACTCGTCGCAAAAAAATAAAATGCGCCCGATTGGACGAACGGTGAAATAGAATCCTAAGTTGTAATTAGAGAGTTTGTTTTACTTGCACGAGTTTATCGTCCGTTTTAATGGCCGGAAGAAATTATGAAGCAACCGGCCGGAATCGGTGCATCACAGCGCGTGCGTTACTAAGTTGCAACTTTAAAATCGGGAAATAAGCTCGTGACTTACAAGGTAAGATGGAGAGAAGGAATGATAAAAACCCCTGGATTCGTACGTTCCGCTGAAGTTCAGATTATAAGAACTTAGTTTTTTTCTTCGTGGAAATGTTGAAAAATTGATTAATATTTTTACGCGATATGATTCTTGTTTTGTGAAGTTTTTCTAGAGGGCGAATCTGACTCAAAATCTATTCAACCGATACGTAGATCACTAATGAAACTAACTAACTAATGAAATTATTTCATTAGTTACGCATAAATTATTAAGTCTAGAAAATTCATCAAAAATGAATGAGTACAATTTATTGTAAATAAAAAAATACTGTTCAAGATATCCCTTCCAAATAAAATTTAATCATTAAAAAAAAAAAAAAAAAAAAAAAAAAAAAAAAAAAAACATAAAATCTTGATTTGAAGTTTGCTGTTCAGGAGACAGTCTTAAGAAAAAGCTACGTAAAATTTCTATGAGCCATACTTAGGGACCTGACTCATAGGATTGAATGAAAATTGATTGCAAGTCGTTATTACGACGCTACATCGCCTTGTCTCCATGGGACATTTCATAAGATTTGTCCCAAGTTCGAATCGCAGTAACGAAACTTCTGGGCTTCTTTCTTGTTAAACAAAGCAAAAAACTCTTTCTCCTTCTCTCTGAGTCACTTTCAGGACCCTACAAGGACTCTGCTCAGTATTGTGATAAGTATCGACAAACTCAATATTTTCCCCAACTTTGAAGGTGAGATTTTTCCGTCGGACAAATCCCATGAAACGTCCCATGGAGACAAGGCCTTAGAAGGGGCTTCACCATCAAAATCTAAAAAATCCGGTTTTTACACCCAACTCGACGAAAATCCATCTGTGAAAAGTTCGCCTCCTCGGATCAGGGTCCACGTTCCCATGGACACAGTTTGACAAACTGAAGGTTCCCACCTCTAACATTAGATCGTATTCGATACCCTGGTAAAAATTGGCGATAAGAGCTGCGTTTCAAAATACCACAGGAATTCTTATAGCCGGCTAAAGAAGGCTACAGAAAATCATAAAGCTGGCTTTAGAATGCGGAGAAAATCATACGGCCGGGCTATACGAAGCGATAAAAAATTATGCAGCCGGGCTATAGTTCCTATCGCCGGGCTTTACACTTTATCGCCTGTCTGTTGCTTTTTCGCCATCGATTATAAAAGGCTATAAGAAATTGTGTAGAAATTCGTGAGCTTCGGAAATCATTAAGTTTGATACGGAACCACCTTAATTTTTACAAAACACACATTATATTTTCCTTTAATACATATTTTTCTTCATCAATTAAAATGAGAATAATCCACACAGGATGTGCAAACATTTCAAAATCATGAGTTGAATAACGCTGACTCCGCCAGATTTAATATTAGAGCCTAACACAAAGCGGAGCAAGCGGCGACGGTCTGGCGCCTACAAACCTAACAGGGATACTTCACGCATTGCGCAACGCGTGAAGTATCTTTGTTAGGTTTGTAGGCGCCAATGCGCGTTTCGCGCTGGCTGCCCGCCTGCCGGGCCGCGGCGTGCCACGGCGCTTGAAGCAACTATTTCACACCAGAGGTATTGCACAGCATCATACGAAACTGAAGGCGCTCTAATATATTAGTGATGGCAGGCATCCATCATCAAAAGTACGGAGCTTTCCTCGCAAAATAAATCAAGATCTTACGGCCCAAAAAGAGAACAGTATTCCAAAAACTCACTAAGTCCTAGCATTCGTAATTAGTAACGTTTAGCATACACTTTATCGCCTGGCTGTTGCTTAATCGCCATCGGCCATAAAAGGCTATAGGTAATTGTGTAGCTGGCTATAGAAGCTGTTGGAAATCTTACAGCCGGCTGTAGGTCTATGGTATTTGGGAACACAGATTCTACTGCCAATTTTTACCAGGGTAGTGGTTCGATGTATCGTTCGGTTCAAAACAGTAGAAAATAACCTGAAATGAAAATTTCAGAATTTGAGAGGGAAAAGCTGAAAATGAGAAAATTACTGACAATTTCACTTTTCTTTGCCATTTTATGCTCATAGGAATAAAAAATCTATCACAAGAAACCCGTTCCCTCAGATTACGCAATTGACTTTTGAGGCTATGTTTATACATTGAATCAATCGATATCGATACGATCTCACCTGTTTGATTGGATCCTATTCGATAGTGGTTTGATGCATCGTATGGTTCAAAACAATAGAACATAATATCAGACCAAAATTTTAGGATATAAGTCAGAAAAGCTGAAAATGAGAAATTTCGTAGCAATTTCACAACTCTTGGCCAATTGGTACTCATACAAACTGCTTACGAATCAAAAATCCATCACAAAAAACCCGTCCCGTCAGATTACTCAATTGACTTTTGAGGCTGTTTATGATTTGAACCAATCGATATCGATACAATCGCACCCGTTTCATGTATCGAATACGATCTATACGATCCATAAGTCCTACACGGAAAAAAAAGTTCGGTAAATATGGAACCACGATTTTGTTCGGTACACACGACCGAATTATTCGGTCTGCTCAGCCGAGCTGTTCGGTCCACTGAACCGAACTGTAAGAATTTATTATGGTTCGGTCGCACAAACCGAACAATTCGGTTGCACAGACCGAATAATTCGGTTGCACAGACCGAATAATTCGGTTGTGTGTACCGAACAAAATAGTGGTTCCATATTTACCGAACTTTTTTTTTCAGTGATATGCCCAGCAAAGTCAGTGAACTATCCTCGTCCCAAGTCACCGATCAGTTCAAGGTTACTGAGGTTCGCTCCGATATTTACCTTAAAATTTGCACGGGCAAACCGCGAGATCACGACCCTGAAAGCTGCTAATCAAATAAAAGCGACTACGTACCTTGCATGAAAACGAAAGACAGCTGGAGGATAGCGAGGAAGCTCAAACAGACCAGTCTCGTCGCTCGGAGGAGGGAACGGCACCCGCTCATCATTCATCGACTTCGCCTTAGGCTCGAAGCAACTTCAGAAGCTGCCGACAGAGGGCGCGCGTCTCCTCGGCGCCGGCTGGTCGCGCCTCCGTCCTTCCGGCCTCATCCCAGCGCTCCACGCGGCGCCGATAAAAACTAACGATGCGAGTTCCGAGAGTCTCACAGTGCACAGTTACTTTTTACGGTTATGTCCGTTCGCTAACAAGTTCACAGTAGCCACGTGCCGTTGATCACTTAATTATGCCCAATAGATAGGATTCGAACACCACGTGATGTCGTCGAATTGTCGTGAAAGAAGCAGGCTGAAAGAATTCAGTCATTGGAGATGGAGGGAAATAGAATCTAGATCGAGAATCTAGAATCTAGAATCTAGGTGGAGGAATCTAGATGGAGAGAGTACGAGCCAAACATGTAGGTAATTTTGAGGTTAAGTCGAGGACCTTAAAGACCCCAAAAGGGAAGACAACCAGTAAAATTAAATTATCCAGAATGATTGAGCGTCACAATTGTTACGACCCGTCGTGTTTGCGTAAAGCACGCACGTGGCTTAGTTTTGGCGCTTTACTTATTTTTGCAGGGGGACGCTAATTTATGTACATTCTTGGCAATCTTGGTTTGGTGTTGAAATCTGCAAATTTGAAGCGGCGTGTTTCCACAGTTTTTCGTGTTACAAGGTTGGCTACCTTTTCGGGTCTTAGTAGCTCCATACTTCGACATGTCCGTGTTCTCCCCATTTAGGCACTCTAGAAGTAAAACGAAGAGCACAGAGTTTGTGCAATGTAAGTCGGAAACCCAAAAAGCAATTCCGAAAACATATATGGTCGTGCATTATTTGGAAAAAGTTTTGCGATTAGGAACTGCAATTTCTAACTCATCAAAAAAATACTTTTGGGTATAGGGAAACTGATGATACATCCATTGTTTCTAAACTGAGCAACAAATTGTTGTTCCTAATTGAAAAATGTAGCCCATTCCATCAGCGCACTACTATCATTGCTATGTTTAATAATATTTGATGCATACTCAAGCCTTACCGGACCTGCTTATCGATTTTCAAACTCATATCAAGCGAGTTCCATGTTTGCAATGTGGGGAATAGATTGTTTGGGAACAAAGCCTTGCATAATTATCCTTATTTTGTTACGAAGTAAATACTAGATGTAACTTTCTGCCTACTTCCAATTGTAGTTCTCTCTTTTTTCTCAAAAAAAAAAATAAATAAATAAATAAATAGATAAATAGATAAATAAATAAAAATAAAGTTATATATAATTAGAAAAACTAGTATGAACTAATGTTTAACGTTTCAGATTACACCCTTATAAAATTCCGCCAGGGGTGCAGAAAGTTCTTCGGCCTAAGCAGTTTCGAGCAACCGGGCCCAAGAAATTCAGGCTACGCACTGTGACATTGCTTGTTCGCGATAATTTTAACCAAAAGTTAGCGAATTCGCAGGAATTTTCTAAAAATTAAGCGCTTTCGGACTTTGAGTTTGTAAACATCAGTGGCGCGTTTGGACTAATTTCATAAAAATATTAGATAACAAGCTTGTTAAAAGCTTCTGTAAAAATCTTTGTGTTGAGTGTTACTTCCTTAGAATAAAACCGATGTTTATCATTCGTGTATCCGAATTCCGAATGTAACCGTACTCCGTTCGTCAGTTCTTTTAACCTCGTAAATTAGGTTATACGAACTGAAAGTTGGATCTTAGAAGCCGAATAAATGGAATTATTTAGAGCACCATGTCCTCCCTCATTTCGTGAAAATGCAGTTTTATCTTCTTTGGAGTCAAAACATTTGTATCACGCGTTTTGCCTCATCCAACTTTTCTACTTCTGCGTTAAAGTCTCTGAGTTACCCGAAAAGAGTTCACGCTCTATTTTATTTCATGGGCATGCAATTGTACCTAGTTGGAAGTCAAAATAGTTGTATCACAAGTTCCACTTTTCTACTCTGCGTTAAAACCTCTGAGACAGCAACACAGAGCCAGGCTTTTTTTCATGGTTGCGGGTATCCGCTTGCGGGGAGCGCCTGCAAAACGGAGTGGATACTTCAAGCATCGCGCTATCTTCCCGAATAGGGCAGTGCGCGTACACAACTTCGGAAATGGAGCGAATTTTGATTAAAACGTAATACATTCTAGATCATCCATTATTCAATTAGCCAACGCAATTTTCCCATTATCTACGCAGTTCGCGAACGACTGATCGGTCGTTGGTTCGTGAACTTTCTGCACCCCTGTAAAATCCCTACCATTTATTATAGTTCCAAACAGTATTTTCGAATTTTTTTGCCAAATTGTCTCGTAAAATTTAAGTGAGTTACTTTCTCATTCAAAAGAAAATTTTTGGGAATCACCACCAAGAACAAAACTTTAGTAGTTTTCCAGGTTCCCCTGTCGTACTTAAGTTTACAAATTTGAAAAAAGTAAGTGCCTGTAAATAAAAAAAAAAACCCATTTCTTCCATAATATACTTTTTGACGAAAGAAAATTCACGACTATAGTCATATTAGAAACTATTTCCAACTCATTTCCCCCCAAAATTCGACTTGATGCGTTTCTCCTGAGCTCGGTCCATATTTAGCTTCTGCCATGTACTACCGTGCTAAGGCAGAACGCCTAATGAACATTTGAGAGTTACCAAATTTCTTTTGATGAAATGTTTATTTTTTAGGAAAATTATGAATATTTTTCCTTGAAATTTTCGGGAACTTTAGATCAAAATACGAACAAAATTCTCTGAAAAATTGGAGGAAAAATATTCATAAGTTTACCAGGAAATTTGCGTTTCATCAAAGGAAATTGAGCAGCGCCTGGAGGCTCATACGGCGTTTTTACTTAGCACAGCATTGTAGCGATCCATCAGGACGATCTTAAGCCGCACAGTGGGTCGAGTCAATTAGAGAAGTTGGACACGAAATTGTTTACTAAAACTGCTAATTTTGGTGTTTATTTCGTCACATTTTACATTTCAAGGGGTGCTTAAAGTAGAATATTTGACGACAAACCCAATGGTGCTACATTGAGAACCTTAAAGTTTTGTATAAACGGAGTTATACACTGAAAAAAAATTCTCGGCGTTTTTACCAAGGTCCGTTGGTACCTTTACCATCTCACTTTTTTACTAATTATTGGTAATTTTACCAAGACAGACTGGTAAGCTTACTTAAAAACCGGTATTTTTACTGTTTTTTTTCAGGTAAGAATACCACTTTTATTGGTAATCAATTCCCGGTAACTTTGCCATTTTATCTCGGTAATTCTACCACTGTTGATAAAAAATATTGGCGTTTTTACCAAGGTCCAGTAAAATTACCGAGAAAGTTCAATAATTTTACCGAGATCTCGGTAAAATTACCAATTCCATAAATGGTAATTTTACCAAGAAAAAACTGGGATCAAATAGAACCCTGAATTCTTGGTAATTTTACCATTTTCTTAGTAAAAACACCGAGATTTTTTTTTAAGTGTAAGAGTTTAAAGTTTCCAAGGTTTGTCCGACCTTTCCTATTGACTCGATCCACTATGAGCCGTGGCAGATTAAGTCGGTGTGAGCGCGGAGTCACTGGAGAGGTTAACTGCCGCGAAAGATTGACAAATCAGGAAGTTATGAGACAAACGATGATTGGGGGGATTGTGGAGTGTGGACTCTTTCCCGTTTTCGGTCTCAATTTCCATTTCCACGAGGAGCAAGAGCGAAAAGCCAGAGGATGATCAATGGGACAAACGGCGCCGTCTTCGTCTCTCGGTAGCGGAAGAAGGTTGCGCGCCATGTCCCCAGCCCGCCAACCGTTTCGACGTTGAGCTCTCGTACTCGTTCACCGTTCGTTGAGCACCGCGGATTTAACTGGCTCGCCCACCGTTGCAAATCCCAGCCACGCCGAGAGGTTGAAATCGGAGATACTGTATCATAGAGACAAATAAATAGAGAACCTCCTTGAATGTACGGGGGACAAGTACACCGAAAAAACAAGCGGGAAACTTGTTGGGCAAATTATACAAAAATCACCTTAAGATGACTGATGAATGTCGGGGTGGGCACGTTGGGAGGCAAAATTTTGCAAATTAAGTCAAGTAGTTGCTAAACTCACTGGTTATCAGTCATTATCAGGCGAATCTGAGCTTTGACTTCCAAAAGTAACTTTCACACTACAGTGAAGATGAAAGAGTAAGGTCTCTAAGATATATTGGCTTTGCATGGATTTTGTTGGCTGTAAAGGAATATGGATGTATATAAAATTGTTTTATGTGTATTTCACAATTATCCAACTTTCGAGAAAAGTGTTGTGTTGATTTTCTCTCTATGAAAAAGACCCGTTTGGAAGAAATTCCGTCGTTTGCCGACAGAAAAAAGGCGTTGGGAAAATTCCGGAGGGGCACTGGCACTCTATGGGGGACTAAAATGTAGTAATTCTCTGGGACCTATAACCCCCCCTCTCCCAGTAACAACTTGATGCCTTAAGAAGCAAAGAAGTTATGGCGGTGGAGGGGGACTTTTGCATCACACTGTATACTGAAGTTATCCGCAGGACCAAATGCTTCATTCAAAACCACAGATTCGATCGAAGATGATTTGGTTTTTTCGTTAGCGGAGAGTATGCATTCACTAATTTTAATACAAACTATAAACCGTCATTCCTCACTGTCATATTGATTTTTGACTTTTTGAACATTCTGAACGTGCTCTGCGTGATATTTTGATGAGGAAATAGCTTCGCGGCACTTTTGTTCTCACTCGCACGGTGGTCCATCACAACATGCCCTCAATGGACCACTAGACAAGGTACGAATTTCAGCATTCTGATACACGTTTCTTGACCAAAGTTTCACGTAAAACGCGATGCGCACAACGAAAATTGCCAAAATCAACTCCTCACGAAGATATTCAATGATTCTTGATGCGTGAATTCAAACCACCTCTTCATGAAAACTCAATGCTCTACGTGATTCACATCCCGCGCTAAATATTATAATGACAGTCTCTGCGATATAAAAATCTGGCAACCTCAATCTTGACGCTTTGGCTCAGCTGTTAGCAAATTGCTCACACACATTAACAACACATGGTATAAGAAATGGACGTTGCTCGATTGAGAAGCTTGCTGAAACCGCTGTAGTGCGCGATTTGACATAGAGCTTTGAGTTTCTTGTGAGCGAGCAGTTCAAAATTCCCGTCACCAATGTAAAATTAAAACGTCATTATCTTAGTTAGGAGTTAATTTCAGTCATTTTCGATGCAGGAATCGTGTTCTACTTGACAATCTAGCTAAAAAACATGTATCAGAATGCTTAAATTCGTACCTTGTCTGGTGGTCCGTTCTTGCATAAAATTTTCGGCGAGCTGCAATGCAATGAGCGGGCCAGGGGTTACAATTCGGGGTTATGACTTAACAACGGATGTGCATCATCCGAGTGCGCTCGCTGCCCGTTTGATTGGCTATTCACAGCCGTTTGAGACGTGTGGCGCAAGCCC